AGCCCAGGAATTCAGGACGAGCCTGGGTGACATAGTGAGACCCTATCTGTACAAATAATAATAAAATAATTAGCTGGGTATGGCAGCACATGCCTGTTTTCCAAGCTACTTGGGAGATAGAAGTGGGAGGCTCCATTGAACCCAGGAAGTCAAGGCTGCAGTGAGCCATGATTGGGTCACTGTACTCTAGCCTGGGTGACAGATCAAGATCCTGTCTCAAAATCAATGAATCAATGAATGAATGGATACGATTTTTATGGCACTGGGTCTCAGGATTTATTTTGATAGATTTAGTTATCCAGTTTATTCTTTTTTTACACATTAAGAAAACATATATTGACAGTATTTAGTATGCATAAAATATTCCTGTCCTAAAGAACTACTTAAAATGTCCTTTCTAGGTCATTTCCTTTGCACAACTAATATACATAGTAGCACCATTGAAATACTGTGCTCTTATTTTCTCAATGTCCATGATTTTTGGATGATGTAATTAAGTGAATTAAACTTATTTTGTACTTCTTAGTTTCTTTCTATAAGAAAATAAAATGTCTGGGAGCAGTGACTCACGCCTGTAATCCCACCACTTTGGGAGGCTGAGATGGGAGGATTGTTTGAGGCCAGGAGTTTGAGACCAACGTGGTTAACATAGCGAGACCCCATCTCTTTTGTATAAAAATAATAAGTAAAAAAAAAAAAAAAAGAGAGAAAATGTATAACGTTTTTATGTAGCTATTAACAAAAGAAGCTCATTTAATCCATTGTGATGCTGATTTTAGTTTTCTTTTCTATAAATCGCCATAGCTTATTTTAATGAAACAATGTGAAATTTCCTGAAGTACTGTTGTTTTTCCTTCCCTTTGTTATTTTCACATACTTTCAAATTTAACTTAGAACCTCGAGATTCATTAACTTATTTCTGCATATGTTAAAGTTTTTTTTTTTATCCTCAAAAAGGCATTGTTCCACAGAAATTAGAGATCCAGAATGAAGTTATGACTTTAGACTTGTGTTTCAGTCAGGAAGTAATGTCTCTGCTGACAGGTAGAAAAATGCATCTTCAACAACACAGATCTTTTTGGCCTATCTTAGAAAGTGTCCTTTTTCTCTTAATAGCAGTTACTAGAAGACTCATAAGAAGAGATGGAAAGATACTATGTGAAAGTTTATTAGTGATGCTATCTTCCCGATTTAAAGTACAAGAAATGCAGCCACAATTCAACTCTTCATGTTCTATCCAGATTCTTGGTTTGAAAATACGATCAGAGAGCAACAGGATTGCAATCCTTGGAATATATAATCTTTTCTTACTGTGTTGCTGCAACTCTGTTTGGCAGTCCAGGAGATACAATTTTCTGTATTATTCCTGTTCAGTTAGAGTGAAGATGTAAGTTATGTAGATGTTAATGCCACCGCTGTATTGAGTACTATATCAATCCGTGATGCCACACAAGCCAACTGGAAAGCAGCAGACTTTGCCAATTGCCAGTGTTTTAACCTATATAGTAACCCTATTTGCTTTAAGTAATTAAAAATAATTTCTTACTGTTTTTTGGACTGTGGTCAAATCCACAGGGTAAACTCTGAGAATATTAATTCAGATTGAGCCTCCATGCCTGTTAAATTTCCGTCATTCAGGAAGTTAAAATGTTTATTTTTTGGCAATCTTTATCTCCTGATTAATTTTACGATTCCTTCTTTAAATTCTGCCTTCGTGATCACAACCATATGATGGCTCGATATTTGAACAATGAAAGCACATTAGCCATTGTATAGAGCATAGGCTGGGGATGGAGGAAAAGGGGGAAATAAAAGCATTAGGAATCCAGATGTCCTGGTCACCAGAAAATGGATTTAGAGTATTTGACATGGTGGCAACGAGAAAACTTGTTTATCAGTCAGGCTTGGGGAATCATGAAATTTCTGAGCGCTAGAGAATCTTAAATTAGCATACTGTGCAGTCTAATACATCTCTCTTACGTTCATAGACAATGTAAGATGAGACCGGGCGTTGTGGTTAGAGAGAGAACCAGAATGGAACCCTCCAGGCTTCACATTCAATACTATGTTTACTATACAACAAACGCTGTAAATAAAAAGAATTGGGGTAGGATTTTGCAAACAAATATCACCAAGTTCTCTTTGCTGATTCCCGTTTTGTTTGGAGCTTGAAACTCTGAGCCAGGTATGGCTGCTCAGGTTGGGTCAGGTAGGAAAGGAGTTGAGATTTTCCTTGATGTGTTTCGCAGTCTTAGAATCTGCAAACTGGAACTAATTGAAGTTAAGAGACTTGGAATGTAATCCCAAATTTGACATTAACAATTTTAGGCAAATCACTAACCTGTCAGTGGCTTAGCGGCTTCCATTGTAAATGAGTGATTTGGCCTAAATCAGTGGTTCTCAAACTTTCTGGCATGCATCAGAATCACCTGGAGCCTTGTTAGAACTGACACAACTGTGCCCAATGTCCCCTAAGTTTCTGGTTCAATAAATAGGTTCAGGTGGGGCTTGAGAATTTGCCTTCCTAGTAAGTTTGTGTATGGTCTGAGCACCCCATGTTGGGAACTGATGGCCTACAGATCATCTCAAAGGTCTTTTCATGTAAGAAAAATTCTTAATCTTTTTACCTTAATCTTTTCGACAAAGACAAGTTTATACTTTTGTGGTGCTTGGAGTGGGTAGGGCAAGGAGGTGTTTATTTTATTTTATTTTTTGGTGAGACAGTCTCACTCCTTCACCAGTGCAGTGGCACAATCTTGGCTCACTGCAACCTCTGCCTCCTGGGTTCAAGCGATTCTAGTACTTCAGCCTCCTGAGTAGCTGGGATTACAGGCATGTGCTACCACGCTGAGCTAATTTTTGTATTTTTAGTAGAGATGGGGTTTTACCCTGTTGGCTGGGTTGATCTTGAACTCCTGACCTCAAGTGATCTGCCTGACTCAGCCTTCCAAAGTGCTGGGATTACAGATGTGAACCACTGTGCCTGGCCACAGAGGTGTTTATTAATGAAACCAAGTTGTGTGAGATCTTCCCATGAGAGACACAAGTTATTTGAAGTATTATTTTAATATAGTGTTATGTAGAAAGCCACAAGTTGTTGTAAGCAGAATGTGAGATATTCTGTGTATCTGGCAAAAAGAAAATGTGGAAGGACGGTATCATACCTAGTGTGTTACCGGCTTCAAAGTAATGTCTTACCATAGAAACTGATCTCAAAACAAACTATTTATGCTGGAGTCAGTGGGAGTTTCCAACAAGAAAAAATAGTTGTGAATCAAAACACTAAGTGAAAAAACGTAAAACAAGAATTTGGCCGGGCACAGTGGCTCATGCTTGTAATCCCAGCACTTTGGGAGGCCAAGGCAGGTGGATCACAAGGTCAAGAGATCGAGACCATCCTGGTCAACATGGTGAAACCCCGTCTCTACTAAAAATACAAAAAATTAGCTGGGTACAGTGGCACGTGCCTGTAATCCCAGCTACTCGGGAGGCTGAGGCAGGAGAATTGCCTGAACCCAGGAGGCGGAGGTTGCGGTGAGCCGAGATCGTGCCATTGCACTCCAGCCTGGGTAACAAGAGCGAAACTCCATCTCAAAAAAACAACAAAAAAAACCCCAAAAACAACAACAACAAGAATTTGATGCTACTGCTATCCAAAGAATTCTTCAGGTAAGAATTTTTCAGTTATGTTTTATTGATTGATGTTCTCTCATAGTTAAAAAAGCACGAAGCCATGGTTTTAATCCGCCTTACTCCTTTTTTGACCTTTCATGCAAATATGCTTGGGTTTTTAAAATTACTGCATTGAAGGCAATACTTTAATCATAACAAAGTAAAATGGGGAGTTCAAATGTACAGTCAGTTCTTCATTCCTATTAGGATAGAGTTTGGCTTGTAGCAATCTCTTTTTAGGAATATGTATTGGCTGAGGTTAGCTGTATATACTAAGAGTTTTAGGGATTACAATTACTTTATGTTATACTATATGGTAACTCAGCTGCTAAGTGGATATACCACTTGCTTATTACACACTGCTTTTTTGTTTTGGGCCATGTTTTTAAACATATATATTCCCAAGAGTTGGAACGCATCTTTTAAAAAGTAAAAATTGTATTTAAGATATGAAAATATGCCCCAATATAGAATAATGTGTTTTACATTTGTTTAATCTAAAAATGACCACACGTCTTATGTAGGCCACTTAACAAGAGGCAACTTTCCTTTTTCTGGTCAAAGTTGAATGCGCTGGTGATCTACTTTTGTCTTAATGAGATATGAGCCTTGTAAAATGTAAATTAATAGAAAAGAAAGAAAATGAGCATACACCTCTCAGGCGCTTTCTGTTGGTTGTATAACAAAGTTAGTGTTTTCACTGACACAGCAGCGGGGGGCATGGGAGGAAGGATCTTGCCGTGAAAACTAACCTGGCTGATCAATTAAAGACCATCTGGAAAACTTGTCTGTGAATAGCTGATGGGTGTCCTGGACACTAAGTGCTTAGTAGGGCACAAGCATTGTCCTCCCAGAAATACAAAGAGGAGCTCTGTAGCCTGAGGTTAATCAGAGCTTTGAGTTAGGACTTCCTCTTTTTTTTTTTTTATTGCATTTTAGGTTTTGGGGTACATGTGCAGAACGTGCAAGACAGTTGCATAGGTACACACATGGCAGTGTGTTTTCCTTCCTTTCTCCCCTTCCCCCACATTTGTCATTTCTCCCCAGGCTATCCCTCCCCAGCTCCCCTCCCGCTGTCCCTCCCCTCTTCCCCCCAGTAGACCCCAGTGTTTAGTACTCCCCTCCCTGTGTCCATGTGTTCTCATTTTTCATCACCCGCCTATGAGTGAGAATATGCGGTATTTCATTTTCTGTTCTTGTGTCAGTTTGCTGAGAATGATGTTCTCCAGATTCATCCATGTCCCTACAAATGACACGAACTCATCATTTCTGATTGCTGCATAATATTCCATGGTGTATATGTGCCACATTTTTCCAATCCAGTCTATCATCGATGGTTTTTCTTCAGATCGTATAAATCTTTCGCCTTTTACTAAAGATTTCCGTGAAGGACTTCCTCTTTTATTTTAAGTCAGCTCGATTTGACATGATTCAATGGTTTTGTTTTAGAATTAATTACATCAGAAATTTAAAATGCCTCTCACTGTGGCTGTAATCAAAATGTTGGAGAAGTATTGGCGAGGACGTAGAGAAATTGCACCCCACACACTTGGTTGGTGAAATACAAAATGGTGCAGCTGCTTTTGGAAAACAGCCTGGCGCTTCCTCAAATAGTTCAATATAGAGTTTTCATAGAGTGGGTCGGCAGTTTCACTCCTCTTTTTTTTTTGAGATGGAGTCTTGCACTGTTGCCAGGCTGGAGTGCAGTGGCCCGATTTTGGCTCACTGCAACCTCTGCCTCCTGGGTTCCAGTGATTCTCCTGCATCAGCCTTCCAAGTAGCTGGGACTACTGTGCCACCACGCCCAGCTAATTTTTATATTTTTTAGTAGAGACGAGGTTTCACCATATTGGTCAGGCTGGTCTTGAACTCCAGACCTTGTGATCTGCCCACCTCGGCCTCCCAAAGTGCTGATATTACAGGGGTGAGCCACCGCGCCCAGCCCAGTTTCACTCCTCTTTCTTCCTGTCTCCCTCTTTCCACATACTTTCAGACCCTTCACACCAGAGCGTAGGCCCCGTGAGAACCAGGTGTGGTCCTGTGCATCACTGTCTATCTCCAACGTCTAGAACGAGTTCAGCACACAGCAGTGACTCAACATATTTTTAATTGAATAAATCAATCAGGAAGAGGCATACAGTGAAGGTCATCAAGAGCGTGGGCTCCGCCGGGCACTGTGGCTCACGCCTGTAATCCCAGCACTTTGGAAGGCCAAAGTGGGCAGATCATCTGAGGTCAGGAGTTCAAGCCAGCCTGGTCAACATGGTGAAACCCCATCTCTATTAAAAATACAAAAATTACCAGGCGTAGTGGTGAATGTCTATAATCCCAGCTACTCGGGAGGCTGATGCGGGAGAATCGCTTGAATCTGGGAGGCAGAGGATGCAGTGAGCTGAGATCCAGCCTGGGTGACACAGAGAGACTCTGTCTTAAAATGTAAAAATGAAAAAAAGAGCATGGGCTCTAGAGTTACCCTGCCTCAATTGCCTCGATACGAATTCTGGCTCAACTTTTAACTGCAGGATCTTGCATTAGTTTACTAGGCCTCTTTGAGCCTCAGTTTGTTCGTCTGTGAAATGGAATGGAAATAACATTTGGATTTTTGAGTAGCAAACACTCAGAAAAAGCTTAATGAAAGTAAAGAAAATTCATTTCAAAAGTGATAATAAGAATTGACTGCATTACCCTTTGTACCATGTACTACGAGATGAATAAGATGTGGCTGGCTACAAGGTTATAAGAAACTTTCACCCTAGTAGGAAACTTTCACCCAAGTAGGAAAGAAATCCATAAAAGCCAAGGAAACAGACTAGGCTTGTGAAGGACACAGCAAGATGAATGTACAACATTAGAAATCACACATTAGCAAAACTTTAAATGTTCTCAAAAATGAACACAAAGGGAGACATAGTAATTTGGAATAAATTTCTCTCTCAAAAACACTTTGTCACCTGTGAAAATGTTGATTGCTGTATGTTTCAAGTGGTTATGTTTTGGTCATCATGAGAATTTTATTTTATGCCTGCGCAATGTATCTCATTGAAAAACAATACATATTAGTACATTGAACTTAATGTGTTAGAATGAATTCAAAAATACACTGTATTTTTGTCTTCCACTTTTCTTTTTCTCTCCCCTACCTGGATGGTAGCTTGGGCAGGTCCTGTGGTTATGGCACTCGCTGTTAGATAATTGCAGTCCTAGTAGGTTGTGATCCTAGCATCTCTACCGGGTTGGCTTCTTCCTCCTAGACTTAAGTTATAGAAAACACAATCCTAAAGAATTCACAGTTAAGAGACTTAACACCATATGGGAAAACAAAATACCGATGAGAGCCTGGGGCTCTGACTTTATATATTGTATTCTTAGATTTACTAACTGTAGCTAGTGACAACCAAATTAGGAAGAGCAGTTGGAACGAAAACATCATATACTTCTGCAGGAGTTGAAAGATCAGTTCTAGTTTGAGAACTGCAAAGCTTCTCAGAAGATTCTGAAATTACACAGCTGTTTTGGAATGTGTGGAAAATGGAATCATTGCATGATTTGCTAGTTAGGGCGCTCCTGATGTGGTGGTCTAACCATAGAGAAGTGTATCACCAACACCCTTAAAAGAGAGGAGACTCCCGTGGGAGGAATGGTTGAAGGCGTGGGAGTAGGGTGTTCTAACTCTCAGAAGATTGATATTAAGAACTTTTGCAAGGAGATCATAGCTACATGTTTACAAATAGTTTTTGATTTTTTTTTTTTTTTTTGAGACAGAGCCTTGCTCTGTCCCCCAGGCTGGAGTGCAGTGGTGTGATCTTGGCTCACTGCAACCTCTGCCTCCCAGGTTCAAGCAATTCTCGTGTCTCAGCCTCCTGAGTAGCTGGGATTACAGGGGTGCACCACCACACCCAGCTAATTTTTTATATTCCTAGTAGAGACAGGGTTCCACCATGTTGCCTCCTGAGTTCAGGAGGCTAGTCTCAAACTCCTGAGCTCAGGTGATCCTTCCACCTTGGCCTCCCAAAGTGTTTGGATTACAGGTGTGAGCCACCATCCCCAGCCACCACCAAGTTTTAAAAAAATCCATCGTAGAAAATAGCTAAAGCAAAAATTGACTGTTGTTAAGAAAGTCACTCTAACCATAGGATGTCTAAATAATGGGTTACTGTTGTCATGATCAGAAATATGCATGTGGTGTATGTGTGTTTGTATATGTATATTTGTGTGCATATCTTTCTACAGTCCTAATATTGGGCAAGGAAGCCAAGTATCAATACTCTGCTCTCAACTTAAATAGTGGAGGTGTTTTCACCACTCTTCTGTTAAAACTGGAATGTCAATATTTGACTTCTCTATAAAAGAGGCCTGGCCAGGTGCGGTGGCTCACAACTGTAATCTCAGCACTTTGGGAGGCTGAGGCAGGTGGATCACTAGGTCAGGAGTTCGAGACCAGCCTGACCAACATGGTGAAACCCTGTCTCTACTAAAAATACAAAAACTAGCTGGGCGTGGTGGTGTGTGCCTGTAATCCCAGCTACTCAGGAGGCTGAGGCAGGAAAATCACCTGAACCTGGGAAGCAAAGGTTGCAGTGAGCCGAGATCACACCACTGGGCTGCAGCCAGGGTGACAGAGTGAGACTCTGTCCCAAATAAAAAAGGCGGGGGGCTCATAAGAGGCTTTTCTGTGTAAAGCAAACCTAATTCTGTGCAAATCATTTATACTAAAAAGTCCCTTATACATGTTTTTACATTTAATAAAATGAAAGAGTATACTAAATAAAAGTGTTTTTGTTAACATCCATGTTCAACTAATAGTGAGTAATGAGCCATTTCTTGTCATCAGATGCTCTTTCTCTCCTCCTTTCCTAAGATCTCAAATAATTTCGTTTTACTTAATTAAAAAAAAAACAGATCCTGTAGTATTTTTTCCCCTTTCTGGTCCTCCACGCATTTGTTCAGTGCTCTCTGGCCTCATCACCCAAAGCTGTTACAGTCTCTTAGGTTCCGGCACGGTCCCCAGAGAGGCAGACCCAAATGCTTGAGATGGAAAAAGTTCAGAGAAATATTTACGTCAGCTCTTTCATGCAGTTAGCCGTTTCTCAGTTCCCCAATCCCTGTGTTTTGCTGCTACCAGGACACAAGGTTGTGTAGCCTTAGCTCTGCCCATGATAACTTCGTTCCAGCATGCACGAATCTCTAGTCCATCGCAGCTCCTGCCCTCCTAACGTGCAGAAAGACAGTTTTGAGTTTCAGCCTTGTTTTCCCGTGTTCTCTTACGTTATACCCACGATCTATACAGGGCTTTATTACAAAAACCTCAGCTTCTGCTTTATCTGTGTTTTCTCTTCCTAACTCAGAGTATCTATTTTTCTAATTATTTCCCAAAAGATGTTTTATAATTCTTTTGTACTGCACTCATTGTTTTTTGTCTGCTGTACCAGAATCTAGCACAAGGAAACTTGTGGCTGGGGAAAGAATTTAGTATTTAAAAGCTAAAAGTAAAGAAACAAACATACAAAACAAAGAAGTCTTATTTCACCAACGAGCTTCTTAAATATAGGATTTGCCTACTTTAAAATTCTTAGTGATTATCGCTAAATTTGTTCAGCAGATTTTAATAACATTATAACATAATTTAATAAGCATTCTTTGTCCTCCTTTCCTTTTTTTAACCTATAATTTTAATGAAAATACAAAACATTTTGTTCTGCAATTTTGCAGTGTGTTATTAAATGGGCAAAGGCCCTAACATCTCCTTATATCACAGCTACGGTGCTTGGGCTGCCTGACCCTTGGACTATGTTGTAATGCCTTTGAAATCAGAGCTGGATTTTATTTATTTTTGTATTTTCCCCTGGCTTTTAACTTGTCATAAAATTTATTAGGAAAAAAAAAATCTTTCTTACAGCTGCTTTAGTTTTCCCCCTGCTGGAAGATGATTTACAACTAGTAAGGTCATTGTCTGCATATACTCCAAAAAGAAACAAAATTTAATTTGTGCCACAATTAGTTATTTATTTCAATAATACGTAAGATTGGGAAAAACAAGAAATGTAGTATCAAGATGGTCTTTCTAGATCCCTTTGTTCCTAAAAATCGCACAAAGACCCATTTGTTTAAATGTTTTAGTTTGCTGCTGATGTTAAAACACTCATAAATCACTCCTCCAGATGCAGTTATTGTGGGCAAGTATTCAAGACCCGCCGACCTTTCATCTTCTTTACACTGCAGCAGCTCAATAAAAGGGGGAGATAGAAGACACAGAGAAGGAGGAACACACATGCACTCTCACATCTCCCAGACACATTAGCATGGGCTGGGCTGCCTCTGCCACAGGCTTGCAGGCTCAGCTGGGGTTTTATGGCCTTTGCTGGTCTTGCTGGGGACAGGGCACTGATGAGCACGGGTGACAGGAGCACTCAGATGCAGCTCTTTGCTGTTGTTGTCAAAAAAAAC